AGTCTCAGACTTCATTGTTAGTGTACATTGTACAGTATACTTGTACTTCTTAGTGAGTGGTAGAGAGGATAGACACAAAAATATGAGAAAAAGTTTCTTAAAAGTTATTCCATTTGTGTAGAACAGTTTTGAGTTGCTCTTTTTTCCCATGGTTTGAGCACAAGTAACCCTGAAATTTTCTGTCCTTTCAGGGTTAAAATTTCTCATTGCAAGTATCACTAGAATATTTTCCTCTTAATATTGTTAATGTACTCTTATGTATAGTTGTTAAAATTCAGCTAATAATTTAAAGAAGAAACTGTTTATATTTTTGTTGTGAAGAGTTTGCCTTTCCTTAATTTAGTATACCTAATTTGATTCTAAATCTTGCTCTTTTAATGTTTTGTAGGCCAAGTCTAACAATTTTGCTATTTTTTTATGCACAAATTTCTTATGTATGTGGAATGATAACAGTCCAATATGTATTTTTATAAGGAGATTAAAGAAACAAGTGAAAAAAGTCTTTATTGAGTCTTATCCATACCAAGCCTTCACAGGAAATATACATAGTTTGTTAGGCAGCCCTTCCTACATGCATACACATGATTATTAAGTTTGCAAAGAAAATTAGGTTTATCAGCCTGTACTGAGTTCTTTGCAAATATTGAATGAATTAGTGTCAGAATAAATACATTATTAGTTAGTGTGTACTAATGTAAAAAGGCCTGTCTATTACATGTGAATAAAGGCTTCTGCTTGCTGACTTGTGACTATATATACACACAATAAAAGTATTATACTAAACATTTGGATGTATCATATTCCAGAGGCCTTGTAAGCCTGGTAATTGTGAAAAAATTCTGTCTTTAATTACTCAGTAATTGCAATACTAATCATCAGAGGTGTAGTCCTAAACATAGGGCAATATGAATATCACATGCTCACATGTTACAAATATATATGACTAACACTACAGCTTTTTTTCTCTTTTTCTTTTCTAATGCAATTTTATTTTGTCTTTGCATTTTACTGAATACCCTGTTAATGACAGCATGAAATTAGATATGGTGTTATCATCAAAGAGATATGGGTAACAACATTATATTTACACACATACTTACAATATAGTTATATCTTCTACCAGGTGTCCCCATGTAAAACAAACAAAGTTTCAAGTTATTGCTGTATAAAATATGAACAAGTTAACATCCAGCCATTAAAGATCTCCTATCACTTTGCAATCTCACTTATTTCTTTATCACACCACAATAGCTTAGTGTAGTGCAAATAAATACTTAGTTATAAATATAGCAAACATGGCAGAAGATATCACGGTACCGTATTTTTTTTTTCTTACGATATCATGAAACATATCCTATACAGAGAGAAAATAGAAATACCAACACTTTGTGTATCTTCTGGAATATCAGTGTCATTTAAGTGATATTGTTAGAAATCATTTCTCTTAAAAGAGTTCTTTAAAGGTACTAGTATATTAGTGTATGAAAAATGGTAGATAACTGGAGTTGAGTTATGATATTCATAATTTGAACTGTCTTCACTCCATCAGATACAAAATAATAAAAACTAATGTATCTTAAATATAATATATTCTATACAAAATGCATTTATGGATCTGTCATTCTTCAAAAGTACTCATCTACACACTTGCAGAACACGATGAACTGGACCACCTCAGTGTCTACCTAAAACATCCAGGACATGGTGTTCAGTGTTTATGCATCCTTTTACATAACATGCTTGCTTATACAGTGGACGTGAGCAGCAACCACCAGTGCCTGGAAGCTAGGCCTCTGTGCTTGCACTCAGAGAAAGTCTAAAACTGTGCAACTTTGGAAGGTGTACCAGGGTTTAGTATTGTTTAAACTCAGTTGCAGAATTTGATTTTGTTCTCATTTTCCCCTGTTGAAGTCAGGAGTATGGATGTTTTATCCACTGTGGTTTTCTTTTCTTATCGTTGTTCACACATAAATGGCTGAGGAAACACCTACTCAATTATTAGGCCTACCTAACCTCATTTTTTTACCCCTTTCCTTCATTTTATTTTCAAGAAAAAATCTTCATTTTTATCATTAACGTTGTTCAAAGTAATGTTAACAAGAATAGAAATGTTAAAAAGGATAACAATGGTAATAGAAACTGAAATTGTGTTTCCCCAAAAATCAGGGAGTGGGTAAACAGGTAAAATCAGGTAGGCCTAGTAATTGACTCCTTGGTGACTCATGAAGCAGTCTATGTGCTAACAATAATAATAAAACAAAATTACAGTGCCTGTACCTGGCACCAACAGGTTGTCTGTGGTGACTATAGCTCTTGCCAATTTTTCACTTAAATTTAACCCAGAGTGCAACTTTACCCAACAAAGCTGGTTTTTAATATTATATGTCTTAACTAGTCTTTAATAACCTTTTTTCTAATTTCGCGGCAGCCAAAAGTTGCCTTTCGCCATAGGACACACTAGCAATTCAACTGTTGACATAGTGTATCTGACTTAGGTATAAACCATTAGTATATCTATTATTAGCAGCTCTAAAACACAACCTAGAGATCCAGTGTGTAATATTCAGGATACTCTACTTTGTAGCTACACATTGTGATTGCCTGCAATTCTCATCTAGGCAGGGTTAGCATCTGCTGTTTATTAAGAGGTAAATGAAATAGAAAATACCTTTACGTCTGTCACAGAACCTAAAAGGTATAGTACAATATTTAACATTTCACTGGTTGAGGGGCCTATATTACATTTATGTAATATAAAATCATGGTAACCTTATTTGTTAAGAATACTTACATTTTCTAGTTCTTTTAAGTGTTAAAGAAAATAAGGATTTGCTCTTTCCTTAAATAAAAAAGTGATCTTGTTGGATCTTACTGTTAGTAACATTTCATAGTTTCCATGAAACTATCTGTCAACACATTACACATGATTATGCATCCTGTAGGAAGCTATCATGAACGAAGATAATGTGTAAGCATAGCAAACCTAATAGAAGCTACCTAGAATTTTTGAATTAAAAAAAAACAAGGATTCTGAGATAGTTTGAGAAGATCACTATTCCCATCTGGATTAAGACTAGTTAACTCCAACAGACAAAAAAAAAGTAAAAAATATTTCTGCTCAGAGAATGAATAAGGGGAAAAATGAAGTAAATTGAAGAAATGATTGATAGCCATGTCTGATTCATCTTGCATAGTAAATAAGTCAATACCTCGCTAACTTACTCACTTTTGAAGCGCAAAGACATTCTTTTCTTTCCAAGCAGTAAAAGAAAAGAATATATATTCTGAGATAAGTCATTAAAAAACCTCAGATCCTGATTATAAAATTAAAGAATTAAGTAAAAAAGAAAGAAAGAAAAAAAAAAAAAGGTATCAGTGGATACTTGTAGCAGAACTAAGAGATTTCTTATAAACCTTTAGTCAAACTCCTTTTCATGAGCAGCTTTTTCTATTCTTCAGATTTATATCACAATAACTTAAAAAATAAATCTGTATGTATTTCATATAAGAAATTAACAAAACTTATGTCTAATTACAGTTGCATTGATAATGAGCTAGACAGAATTCAGGTTAAGACAAGTATGTAATAAATACGACCTACTACCCTCTTTATGCTAATAATAAAAATAAAAAGATGCTTATAACTATTGTATCAAGTAATTTTTTTTGTTAACAAACATTATTTCTATTGTAATTAAATGAAAGTTAGCATTAGAAGCATCTGTCTCTAATTTTAATTCTCTGTCATCAAATCAATGTGCCTCATCCCCACATGCTGTTCTATCATCATAGTTATGTGTTCATGCATCTTCTGCACTGAAGTATTGGAAAGGCCTGCACAAAATGCCTGAGTGAGACACAGACTTTATTCTTCTTAAATACTGTCCAGAAATTCATCATCACTTGCATTTGTTTTAAGCTTTCTCTTCATTTGCTTCCTGGAGTTTCTTTTCCTTTCTGTTGTCTTCCCATCGCTTGATGAGACGGAGAGGGATGCACATTAGACCTGACAGTGCAAATATTCCACCAAACACATAGAAGGTCACATCGTATGACTTTGTGGCATCGACGAATGCACCTGCAGACAAAAGACAGAGCTCTGATTAGGTGTAGTTTCTAAAAGGGAAATCAGTCATTTCCTCCCATGTACTTCCCATTCTCTCCTTGTTTCTGTTTTTTTTTTTTTCTCCATTTTGCTTTCCTCTCTTTACTTGACAAGATTATTCCAAAGAAAAAAAGCTTGATTGTAATTTGCATAACTTGAAAGTTACCACTTAATTCAAAAAAGAAAATAATAGGGATCATACCTGCCACAGGACTGCCCACAAGAGCTGCGATGCCTTGGAACAACAGCAGAAGGCCAAAAGCATTTGTCAGTTTCTCAAGGCCAAGTAACTCTACCAAAAGGATGGAACGCAGAGAGGCGAATGCAGCTGAAAACACAAAGAAAAAATTAATTGCAGTGCAATTTACTATTGATTGTGTCAATAACTTCACTGTATATATAATATTCTAATTAGAGCAAGACCTAAAAAAAATACAGAAAAGCTTAACATGTGTGGCTTTACTGTCTAGATCTGTAGAAAGGTTTCAAAATACAATGTTTGTTATTTGCTATGAAATGAGAATGAGAGAATGAGAGAGAGAGGGAGAGAAGAGAGAGAGAGAGAGAGAGAGAGGAGAAGAGATGAGAGAGAGAGAGAATGAGAGAGAGAGAAGAGAAGAGAGATGAGAGAGAGAGAGAGAATGAGAGAGAGAGAGAGAATGAGAGAGAGAGAGAGAAGAGAGAGAGAGGATGAGAGAGAGAGAGAGAGAGAGAGAGAGAGAGAGATGAGAGAGAGAGAGAGAGAGAGAGAGAGAGAGAGAGAGAGAGAGAGAGAGAGAGAGAGAGAGAGAGAGAGAGAGACAGAGACAGAGAAAATGATGAATGAATGAATGTATCAAATAATTTGTCAGATAATCTTATAAAAATAAAACACTGAGAACAATAGCATTATTCTCTCCCTAATTTATTTTGTAGTAATGGTGGTGTTTTGGATTTTTTTATACACTATAGCGTCAGATGTATATATGCTCCACAACATCAATGAAAACACAATATAGATGTTTGACCAATTCTACTCACCAACTGAAACACCAAAGGCCACTGAATAGGTAAGGAGGAGGGACTGATCTGAGATGAAAGGCAAGATCATTGTCGCAGCTCCGCCAATCATGAGGGAGAAGTTATTGACGTGTAAGGCATCAACCTGCACAAAAATAGGTATCTTTATATAAATCTGAATAATCCAGAAATAATGTATCTATAAGGAACTTTAAGGCTATCTGTGAAAAAATAATTATGGCTACATTAGTAAATAAACAAAAACAAGTGTATGTTCCACGTAGGTATCTTTAAATTGTATTTCTTCATTCAGTATAAAATTTGACTAGTGCAACAGTGTAGCTTAATAATTATCAAAAGCTTTACAAATCTCTGACCTTAGGGTGATCTGAAATCCAGCCACAGATAATTCTGCCCAAGGTGTTCGTGATGCCAATGGTAGAGACAAGAGTGGCTTTGGTACCGTCATCAGCGCCTTGTAATTCAGCATAACCTGGAGGATTTTAGGACTACATTAATTAAATGGGAAAATTTCTGTTTGTGCCCATTGCATTAAAAAACTGGTAGGGGGAAATATCAGTATTATCAGTATTATTATTATTATTATTTTTATTATTTTTTTTTTATTTTTTATTTTTTCCAAGACAGTAAATTTTAATGTTAAAATAACAGATATACTTTCCTGTGTTTAATTCAAAAGGCGAAAAAGACATACACAGATTTATTAATATGACTATTTTGTGTAAAGTGGGTGTTTCTACCATATTAAAAAAATTGTGAAAGACTAATTATATCCTGCATTTCAAAACTGAATCCTATGATCCTACATTCTTCCCAAAAAACGAACAGAAACCAGCAATAAAATACACCAAGTGATACATTACCAGGCAGAAACATGAAGGGGACAAACAGAGCCATGAGGGACAGGAACCCTGCGATTCCCAGCACTACGAAGGTAACAGAAGCCAAGAGGGAGAAGTCGAAGATTCTGAAGATGACATTTGTAAGGGCAGTTGGGCAGCAGCGTATTCTGCTTTCTGAGTCCTCCTCCTCTGCTATGTCTTCCATGGGTGGAAGTTGCGTCACAGACTGGTGGTATTTGTCTACTGTATCCTAGAGATTGAAAGGGGATTAGGAAATTTGTTAATTTTGTAAGGTTTTGTCTAGGAGAGTTTATTTTGCTTTGATCTTTTCCTAAGTGATGATCATAAGTAATTACTTGGAGCAATATTGCTTATGCTGATATTCATAATATTACTAACTAATTTCCCACTCAGGCATAGCTTGCTTTTTCAGGTAATAAAGGTAAGGATAAATGTCCTGTTTAAATTTGATGATTCTATGAAGGCATTAAAAATAAGTAGAAAATAAAAGTCATGGTTTTATCAACCCCAATTACTGACCTATCCGATATTTCCACCACGTACATTTTCACAGGATTACACTACCATCATAAGTGTCTTAAAAGAAAAAGAAAAAAGCAAACTCACAGAGCTTTTATATTCTGGGAGACGCAACAGAGACCCTGAGTAGAAAATGTCATCACGGTAGAATGGCCTGGCAGTCTCCGTTCTCATGGCAAGCCTTGATGGGCGACGATGTTGCTCTGAAAGGAATATAAACAATGACAGTGACTGCAAAGATTCATATTCATATTACCCTGAATACGCGGACACATACATACATGCAGAACATAAGAAGGAAATAGCCACAATAGGAAATAAAACTGAATAATAACGTTTCGAATTGGTCAAGTGGTCCTCATCAGACGAAAATAATAATCAGTTCGATCATCTGCTCGTCTGAAACTCTTTGACGAGCTCGAAACGTTTTGATTCAATCTCGTTTCTTTTTGTGGATGTTTCCTTTTTTTTTTTTATCCTTCTGTACTTATTACTTTATTTGTGTTCAAAACACACACACACACACACACACACACACACACACACACACACACACACACACACACACACACACACACACACACACACACACACACACACACACACACACACACACACACACACACACACACACACACACACACACACACACACACACACACACACACACACACACACACACGAGAGAGACCCTCTGATTCCCGACCGGCCCTCCCGACCCCGACCCACTTGGCCGAACACTCACCAGCCGAGAAGGCATTGGGTTGAGCCAAAGCAGGCGCGCTCTTGTTGCGTGGATACCGGGCGTCTTTGCCTCACTCTCGTGTTCTGAGACGTTGAGCATGTTCTTCAGTTCTGTCTCGTTCTTGTTGTCGTCCAGCACTTTCGCGCCGGCGCCGTTCTCCAGCTGTTTGCCTTCCTCTTTCTCGCCCTCTGTGTCAGGAGGCGAAGAAGCTTGCTTTTAGGAGTTGGATGCTTGTGAGTTGTCAAGGGAGATGAGGTGGGGAGAAAAATACTTGTGTGTGTGACTGTGTGTGTGTGTGTGTGTGTGTGTGTGTGTGTGTGTGTGTGTGTGTGTGTGTGTGTGTGTGTGTGTGTGTGTGTGTGTGTGTGGTGTGTTACATATATATATATATATATATATATATATATATATATATATATATATATTATATATATATATATCTATATCTCTCTCTCTCTCTCTCTCTCTCTCTCTCTCTCTCTCTCTCTCTCTCTCTCTCTCTCTCTAATATATATATATATATATATATATATATATATATATATATATATATATATATATATACATGTATATATGTGTATGTATATATGTGTATATAAGTATATGGATAGATATATAATAGATAGATGGTTAATGACAAGGAAGTAAATATAATATATATAATATATATATATATATATATATATATATATATATATATATATATATATATATATATATACACATACATATACAGCTCCACCTCGTCCTCCACAGTTGGAAAATCCACCAAAATATTCAGCAATCCATTTGTCCCTTAAATGCCTCGCCAGACCAAGACCTACCGATGAGTGGTGTCTCTGTCTCCTCCTTGATGGTGTCTGGGTTGGTGACAACAATCCCCGGAAAGCTGTACCTCTTGTGCGCACTGCCGCCATGCCGTTCCAAAAACGCCTTCGCGACGGCGGCACTTCCCTGGTAAATACAGGACGCTTGGATTAAATAGTAGAGGATAGGTTACTTCATTGTGTTTCGGTATATGCTTGGTACTTGGATGAAGTATGTTTTTTTTTCAAGGTTTTAATAGGGTGTCGCGGTACTTCCCTGGTAAATACAGGACGCTTGAATTAAATAGAAGAGGATAGGTTAGTTAATTCTGTGTTTCGGTATATGCTTGGTACTTGGATGAAATATGTTTTTTTTAAAGGTTTTAATAGGGTGTCGCGGTACTTTCCTGGTAAATACAGGACGCTTGGATTAAATAGTAGAGGATAGGTTACTTCGTTCTGTGTTTTGGTATATGCTTGGTACTTGGATGAAGTATATTTTTTTTAAGGTTTTAATAGGGTGTCGCGGTACTTCCCTGGTAAATACAGGACGCTTGAATTAAATAGCAAAGGATAGGTTACTTCGTTCTGTGTTTCGGTATATGCTTGGTACTTGGATGAAGTATGTTTTTTTTTTTTTAGGTTTTAATAGGGTGTCGCGGTACTTCCCTGGTAAATGCAGGACGCTTGAATTAAGTAATAGAGGATAGATTACTTTGTTTCGGTATATGCTTGGAACTTGGATGAATTTTTTTTATTATTATTATAGGTCATAGGTTATTTTAAGGAAGAAATATGTTTTTTTAAGGTTTTAATAGGGTATCATGGTAGGCGTTGTATTTTTGAATAACGAAATCAATGTTATGCATTCCTTCTCGTGTTATATTTAGCATACTTGAATGAAATAAATTGAATTCAAATGATTCAGTTCGTTATGATGTATCTCACATACTTGGAAAAGAAATACAGTTCAGATGATTCAATTCCTATCTTTGATTTACTTGTGATGTCAATTCCTCACCTGAACTAACGCCCCTGACAATCAATATCTTACTTTACATATTCCAAAACAACAACAGCAGCAATAACAGAAACAACAATAGCAACAACAACAAAAGCAAAAACAATAACAACAGCAGCATCAACAACAATCATCAACAACAACAAAGCAACAACAATAAAACAACAACAGCAAAACACATCATCAATCATCAACAACAGGAACAGCAACAACAAACAACAATAAACAACAACAGCAACAACATATCAACAACAAACAAGAACAAGCAACAACATCAACAACAAACAACAACAACATAAACAACAAACATCACAACAACAACAACAACAACCAACCAACACAACATCATCATCACCATCATCATTCACATCATCATCAACATCATCATCACAACAACAACAACAACAAAAACAAAAACAACAACACATCATCATCACCAACCACCACCACCACCACCACCACCATCATCATCTCATATCATCATTATCAACAACAACAACAAAAAAAACATCATCATCATCATCATCATCACCATCACAACAACAACAAACAAACAAACAACAATTCATCAACATTATCAACAACAACAACAACAACAAACAAACAACAAACATCATCATCACCATCACCACCATCACCACCACCACCATCATCAACAACATCAACAACAACAACAAAAACAAAACCTTTCACGACTGCCCGACGAACTAACCTTGGCGTCAATAGGCTGTCCAAGCTTTCCTCCAAATTGACTTTGACTGAGTTTTTGAGTTCATGAAGTCATGGAGAGGGCGGACGCACTGCGGAGCTGCTCGTCCCCTGGGCGCGTTTTATCTCTGCGCAAAAGATGGAATAAAAGATAAAGTTTGGATTTGGAAAATTATGGATAAGTTAGAGATGAGAGAGATAAAGAAGGGGGAGGAGGGGGAGAGGGAAGGAGGGGGAAAGGGGGAGAGGGAGGGGAGGGGGAGGGGAGGGGGGGGGGTTGAGGACGGTTCGAGTGGAGTGTGGTGCGGCTCGGGGCTGAGGGCGCGAGGTAGTGAGGAGGAGAAGAGGCGAGAGGAGAGGCGAATCAGGAGAGGATTTAGTTATATATTCATCATATAGGCTTTACGAGCAGAGGGAGAGGAAGAGGATACGGAAGGTAGAGAGCGTAGTGTAACGTGAGGGTGAATCAGAAGGAGGGGATTAAAAGAGAGGAGAAGGCGCGAAGATAGGGAATGGAGAGGATTATCGATGGTGAGCAGGGAATCGAAGTGGAGAGCTTGTAGAAGGGAGACGGAATACTGAGAGGTGAGGGTCGAGAGATGAGGAGAGGCTGCGAGTCGAGGAGGGAGGAGGACGGAGAGAGTGATGAGGGGGAGGGAGTGAACGGGGCGCGAGGCAGAGGTAGAGAGTTAAGAAGAGGAGAGAGGCGTGAGGAAGAGAGGAGAGAAGAGACGAGAGAGAGAGAAGAGAGAGAACGACAGAGATGAATAAAAGAGAGGAGGGAGACGACTGAGCTGGAGAATCTGTAGGTTCTGAAGACTGGGAGAGCGGTAGATGCGGTAAGAGAAGCTGAGAGACGAGTAGAGAGGGAGGAGAAGAAAAAGCACACGCGTGGATGGTGCGGGAGTTGGGAGATTCAGATGTGATTTCACGAGGACAGTGAAGGGAATAAACTCTCTTATCAAAGGCCGCTGGCAGCCTGTCACCCAACTGTAGCGTAGCTGGTCGGAGGTGGATCGAGAGAGGAAAAAACAGAAAGAAAAAAGAAACAACCCAAGAGTGAAAAAAAAAAAAAAACAAGAGATAAAATAAATACAAATATTGCATTCTTTCTCGAAACTAAACTAAATAGGGAGAATTCAAAAAAACAATGGATTTATTTCTCAAACACAAATATACAAAAAAGTAAATGCGTGATAAAATAAAAACAAAAACTCGTAAAAAAAAACGGAATCCAGGCACCCAACCTCCCTCCACCCTGCCCTTCCCCCTCTTTACCCCCCAGCCCCACTTCCCCCTCCTCCTCCCAGTCCCCACCTCCCCCCAAGTCCCCACCTCCCGTTCCCTCCCGTACCCCGAGTCCCCTCAAGTCCACCGCCCAGTTCGCCCATTTCCCCCCCTTTCCCTCCCTCCGACCCCAGTCCCCACATCCCGCCTCCACCCCTGAAACCCCCAATTCCCCCCTCCCCCCGGCCCCACTTCCCCCCAAGTCCCCTCTCCTCCACCCCTAGTCCCCACCTCACCTTCCCTTCCCCAAGTCCCCGCTCCCCTTCCCGCCCCAGTCACCCACCTCCCCCTTCCCATTTCCCCAAGTCCGCCGCTTCCCCTGAAGGATACGCCACCTCATCAGCCGAAGTTTCGTTCCCTGGGGGCTCCAGGTCGTCGTTCCACAGGGGCGGGTCCTGCCTTGAGCGGCTTGAAGGCAAGGCCGAAAACCGCGCACGAGAGACTGATGCCTGTGGCGCCGAGCAGAGAAAGGGAAAGTTAGCTTCAGACATCTTCTTGTTAGGCTCCGGGTATTGTTTTGAAGATGGATGAACTTTTTAAAATTAGAGTCTTTTTAATGACGAAGGTCGTTGGCTTGGGATTGATGTGTGTTGTGAGTTTGTGTTTGTGTGTGTGGTGTGGTGTGTGTGTGTGTTGCGCGTATGTAGGTTCGTGTGTATGTGCGTATGTGTGGTGCGTGGGTCGTGTATGCGTACAGATACCGGCATACGACGAGGGTGTGTATCGCACAGCCGAAGCTAGAGATCAGCTTGGCATGAGAGGCGCGAAGATGAAGGTCCCGATGCCCGACCCGCAGACGGCGATGCCCGTGGCCAGTGCCCGGCGCCGCTCGAAGTAGAACCCGCCCGGTCGCGATGACGGGGGCACGTAGATGCAGCCGAACCCGATGCCTGGGGAGCGATAGTGGAGAGTAATGTGAGAGTATGGTGTTAAATAAGAAAACACAAACAAAAAAAGGTAATTGGTCTAAGGAGCAACCCCCACACCTAAAATAGCATCCAAAGACACCCCTCATCACAAATAATAATAACAATAAAAACACACACACCCCCTCCCCCCCCTAAAACCCAAACCCCCTACCCACCAACCACCAACCCCCCACCACCACCTAACACCAACAACCCCCCCTCCCCACCCCAACACCCCCCCCTCACACACCAACAACACCAACCACAGACCCTCACCTCCGAGAATACCGAAGGAGAACTGCAAGAAGTAGATACTTGTAGCGAAGTAGGAGATCCCGAAGGCCACGGAGGCGACGATGGAACCCAGGATGCAGACGACACGAAAACCGTAGGCCGTTGGCGCAGGGCTGATACGAAGGGACCCTGCGAGAGAGAGAGAGGGGAGAGGACGTGGCGCTGAGTTGAAAGAAAAAAAATGGGTGAGTTGAAAATGGATGAAGATAAGAGGGGGAAATCGCTGGAAAAAATGGGTGGGTAAGTTGGAATGATGGCCGTGGGAGAAGCTTGTTGAGAAAAACATGGTGCGGGGAAGTTCGTTGGGACAAAGGGTATGGGGGAAAATGCCATGGTGAAAAAAAATGACGTGGGAAAGCGGTGTGGAAAAATGGGTGTGGGAATGACCCATCACCTATCTGTGGAAAAGTCTGTGAAAAAAATGGGTGGAAATGGCACTACTATTCGGTGAAAAAATAGTAGGCTGGACGGTGTGGGAAATGGGTGGAAAGTTGTTTGCGGTGAAAATAGGGTGGGAAGTTGTGCGAATGATGAGGTGCGAAGTAGGTTGGAGAATGGGGTAAACTGGGAAGTTGAAAAAAGGAGAGGTGAGGGTAAGTTGTATTAACATGGTGTCCGTGTGGGAAGTAGGTGAAAAAATGGGTGAGAGGGAAGTTGGTGAAAACTTAGAGGGTGGGAAATAAGGGTGGGAAATCGAGTTGATATGAAAATGGCGGGCGAAGTTGTCGCAGAAAAAATGGTGGGAAATGGTTGAAAAATGGTGATGGGAAGTTGTGAAAAATGATGAGGTAGAAGTTGTGAAAAAGATGGGTGTGGAAGTGTCGCTGGAAAAGAGGAGTTGCGAAATGCTTCTGTGAAAAAACTGTTGAAAAAAAGCGTGGGGAAATGCAGTCGTGAAAAATTGGTAGGGAAGTTGTGAAAAAATGGTGGGAGAGTTAGTTGAGAAAATGGGGTTGCGAAGTTTTCGTTGAAAAATTTGTGGGAAATGGTTGTTAAAAAAATGGTGGGGAAGGTTATGAAAAATGGGTGGGAAATGTGTGAATAAGAAAAAATGGTGGGAAGTTGTGAAATGGGTGGGAAATGTCGTTGAAAAAGGTGAGGAAGTACATGTGGGAAATGTGAAAAATGGGGGTCGGGAAGTCGTTGGGAAAATGGATGGGGAATGGTGAAAAGGTGTGGGAAGCTGTTTTTAAAATGGTGCGGGAATTGAAAAATCGGCGACAATAAAGGTGAGTTGAAACTGCCACCGTGTGTTTGATGTTAGAAAAAATGTGTGGAAGTTTTGTGAAGAAGGGTGGAATTGTGAAAATCGATTATTGTTTCCTCAATTAAATATATGTGGGAAATGTACTGGGGGGAAAATGTGCGTGGGGGGAAACCAGTTGAAAAATGGTGCGAATGTGAAAATATTTGTTGGGAAGTTGTTGAAGAAGGTTGGGAATTAGTTAGTGTGGAAAATCGGTTTACTTTCTCGATTGTTTGTAAATATGGTGGGAAAATGCGATTTTTTTTGAAAAAGGTGGAATACGTGAAGACATGTGTGGAAAGTGTAAAAAGGGGCGGTGGGGAATTGTTGAAAAATCGGGTGTATTGTAAATATGGTGGGAAATGTTTTTGAAAAAGGTAGTGGGTATACTTGGGAAACGTGAAAAAGTGTGGGAAGTTGTGGAGAAATGTCCTGTGGGGAAGGCTTGTGCTGAATACCAGGAAGGTTAATATGTGGTAGGTATCGAAAAATTGGTGTTTGAAAATCGGTTTTTTGTAAAATATGGTGGAAATGGTTTTTCTGGAGGTGGAAAGGGGGGGAAAAGCATCGCGGTAGTGGAAAAGCTCCCGCATAGGGGGAAGAGGCGGGGGAAAGTGTAGGGGCATGGAAAAAGGGGGAAAAAATGGGTTGATCGACAGGATGGGGGAAAAGGGGGAAAGGGGTGGGGAAGTGCGGGGGTGCGACGGGCGGAAAAAAAGGGGGGATAGGGCGGTGGGTGATATACATGTTTTGGAAATTTGGGGTGTTATAATTTGAATGTTTTTTTTTTTTTTTGATGTTCATCTCTATAGGACAAATTTTTTGTTTATTTTGAATACTGGTTGTTTTTGGTTTGGGATAATTATGGGTGAGATGAGTGAAAAAAAAATGTTGGATTGCTGGGGAAAAATGGTCGACAAATGATGAAGTAAAATGGGAAATGTGTTGAAAAAAAAATGTAAAAAAAAAAAAAAAGTGAACGTATAAAAAATGGTCTGGATAATAGTTGAAAAACAAAAAAATAAAATATTAAAAAGGAGCAAATGATTGTGGAGAAAAAAGAAAATAAAGTTCCGACGTTAGTTAGAAAAGAACCTGGGAGAAAAAAACGAGCAAAAAATGAGGGTTGAAACAACTGAATGAAATTGGCCAAAAAAATGGGTCCGTGTGTTTGATGAAACTTTATTCATCGCCTATCTTAGGAACTGAACGTAAATAGTAACAGTGAGATATGATCGTGAGTAGAAAAGTCTGAGAAACGAAAAAGAAATGATGAAACAATGGTGTGAGTCACTGAGGAGATTCTGAATAAAAAGAAAAAAAGTGTGGAACTGGTTGAAATGGTAATGTAGGCCTACATAAAATATACAATGCTCTGATTAGGTACTGGGATTGGAGATTAGCAGTGACTGGATTGGATGGCATGGGTAAAGAATGTCTGTTTTGGTGGCTTCCCTCTCCTTTGATCCATTTCTGGA